TTATTTCATTTACATCTATATCTTTTGCGTTTTTCAAATCTGGCACTTCTAGTTTGAATTCTGTCCTGTTTTCTGTCAGTTCTAGTTTACTGTTTTGCTTTTCGTCTCTTCTAAGGTTCCTTATTGTCTTCCACGCTTCTGACACTCTTGTACCTCTAATATATCTTTCCACTCTCTTACATTTGGTTTCCCACATTTTGTTTTTGCTTTTAGATACTTCGCGTTTAACCATTCTATTTAATCTTGCATATTCTTCTCTGTCGTGGTCGCTGTGGGTACTAAGCCATTTCTGGTAGGATCGCTTTTTTTCTTCTATAAGTTTTTTTAAGTTTTCAGACCACCATTCTGGTTTTTCCGTCGTTTGCTTATCTTGTTGCCCTAACGCTTCTTCAGCTGCTTCGTAAATGCATTGTTTTGTTTGTTCATACAACGTTTCAGCGTTTACGTTGTCCCTTTTTATATATGCTAGTTTATTGGCCAGTCTCAGTTTGTAGAGAAATCGTGTCGACTCTTGCATAAAACTTTCTAAATTGTTTTTAAACGCTTCTAAAAGGCAAATATATATTTATTTTTTATATAACTGATTTCAGCTATTCTAAAGTCTATTAAATATCCTCAGAAAACGGATACAGTTTATTTAAAATTCGTGTTTTCCGTGGTTCACAGTAGCTTTTTAAAGACAATTTTTTTCCTTTCTAATAACTGATTTCAGCTAAACGAAAGTTGACCCAAAGTGGACGCCCTGTATTATTTTCGACAATACTTTAGGGAATAATCTTGTGTGTGTAGACGCAAAACAAACACTTGATTAAAATAAACCGTTCCTTATCACGTGTCAATGATAAAGCACTTCCTGTGGGATGCCTGTGGATGATAACAACCCTGAATCGATAATCGTAACGTATACCTATTATACTTCATAGAATTCAGATGCAATATCCTTCTCACGAAAGTATAATAATTTATCTTTGAAAAAGAAATGCTATTTTATACAGGAAAATGTTATATATATACAGTATGTCTCCGGATTGTCTTTACAAGAGGAACAACTTTTTTGACGACATTTTCAGAAATCAATGGTTAATATGTTTATACTTTTCTAGCAAAAGAGAATGACAGTGAGACTCTAATATCCTCAGAGCCGTTTACATCAATACTAGAAGAAATCTTCCTTCTTTTAGACTGGACCAACAAAGAATTAAAAATGGACAATATTTTAATCATCTTTGGCTAATGACGTAGGCCTAATTGTCAATAGTCTCAAATCTAGAATGCCACTTTATCTGAAAGAGAAACTATTCGACCAATGTGTACTACCAGTCATGACCTATGCACACGAATAGGGAATGCAATCCCGCAAACCCGCGGGATTAAAGCAATCAATCCCGCGGATCCGCAAAATTGCGGGACTGTAAACGATTTGGTCCTAAATGGTACAAAAGGCATTGTACATTTTGCATAGGCCAATAATATATTGATATAGCGTGTATCTTAAACTAGCTGTACAGAAATTTCGACCGATGTATACAGAGTGTTCTAAAAATATATTTAATATTAATTAAATTTAAATTTTATTATAATTTATCTACTTATTTTATAAATAGAAATATTATTTTGATGTTGAAGTTTTTTTAACTTGTATTAGTTATCTGCTTTTAGATACACTCTATATGAATAATTTTTTGGCATATGCAGAATGTACAAAGCTTTTTGTACCATTTAGGACCATGCGTATGATTAAAAATGCATATTTTTCGAAAAAAAAACGTCGTGTATTTTCCTTAAAACAAAAACAAAAATATAAAACTGATCAAATTGTTTTTTCTAATTTCAATACAGATTATCGTACTTCGTAAAAATGTCGATTTTTTAAAAAATGTAAATTTGCGGTAAAAAAGATTCTTAACCAAATTTTCACACTCTTATAAAACACCCTGTATACGAGAATTCATTAAATATATTTTCGAAAACCACATGGCATCTTAATCACAATAGATGCATCTAAAACCTGGTCCAAACCGCTTCCAAAAATCTTTTTTAGTTCAAGAGATATTCAACCTTCGATTTACCCTAAAATTTTGCTTGTCCCGATAATTATGTACGGCGGTTTGTTTGACAAAATTGTCCACACATCACTTCACATACGCCAGTAAGAAATCTAACAACTAACCTGTTTGTTTCACTTATTTTTAAAGGCCAAGCCGTAAGGGGAATCCCCCGGGTTCCGAGCGTCGACGCATCGGCCCGGAACGAACCGGAACGATTCGGCTACCCAGTAGTAAAGTGTCGATCCCGCAGATCCCGCACGGTAAAATCCCCCAACTTTGATCCCGTGGAATCTCAGAGGGATCCCGCATTTGCGGGATTGCATACCCTACACACGAAACACTAAAAACGGACATTATAAGGAAACTACGGGTCGCAGAACGCTCAATGGAACGAAATATGCTGGGAATAACCAAGAAAGACCGTAAAAGAATAGAGTGGATACGACAAAAACCCAGCTAATAGATGTAATCCACAGAATCGGGAACAGGACACTCAAAGATGGGAAATTCTATCGGGGGGCCTTTATTCCAAATGAGATCGGACCAAATGACTCCTCTTTATCGCTACCACAAACCATCCGAGATGAACAAAATGATGAGGAATGTGGACAGATATAACATTCCTTTCGGATGGACTAACATGGTATACAGACGGGTCAAAAACCGCTGAAGGAACAGGAGTTGGAGTATTTGGGGAAAGACCAAGGGTAAGTTTATCCTTTTCCTTGGGTAAACACTCAACCGTATTGTAACGTTTTTAGTTCTTTACATGTATTTTTTATATATGATTTATATGATGTCTGGCGTATCGTCATCGGATTCCATATCGTTCAGGCTTGATAATTTATTTGGCACGCTTGGCGTAATTTTTACGTTCCCTAGTCGCCAACCCTGTTATCGTTTCACTGCTCTGTGGAGGCGCTGGCAACCTCACTTTTTTGTTCACCCGGCTTTTAGAAATGGCAATTTAAATCTTGCTGTAAAATCTGAATCAGCTGCCATTTCGAAGCTACAGGTAAAGATGAGATATTATCTTTATTAGATTCGTTATTATTATTGAATAGTTTTAGGGTAGAGTTTTGGATTGACCCACCTTAACTCGTATTTGTATTTTGCTGGCACATTGGTGTTCTTTTGCTTTTGTCCTCCAGAATGTTACATGGAAGACAGGACAGGTTCTTTGTTTATTATTGAGCCCTCGGAAGTGTTTCGAGGTAGGTTTATTTTGTTTATTAGACCTTGTTTGGTTTTAAGCAAGAGTTTCGTATTTTTAGGGTCTTATGGACGGACTGTGTCCAAGGTTATGGTCCTAGTAGTGTTCCAAGGTACGGGTAGTGTCCCCATATTGCCACGGTATGGATACAGCGTAAGCCCCATGCTGCTTCGTTCCCATTTCTAAGCCTAGTCAGTAGCTACGGCTGTATTGATTCATGGTGTCCTCATTCTGGCCCCTTATGTTGTTTTGGCCAACAGGATCGCCGACAGACAGTACAGAGATATGAGCCCACCTCACGCAGCTACTCTTTGAAACAGGATTGCCTCAAGAACAGCTAAGTGTAGATTTAGGTTCTGGCTTTCATTCGATTTTCGGTCTTAACTTAACGTACATTTTAAATAATATCGTACAGACTATATTTAGTGGTTAGATTATTAAGAACATTTATGTCGATTTAGTAGTTACAATATGATTTAGATCTTAGGTTTCATTACATTACGCGTTGTAATAGTATTTAACCACTATAATAATTATTAAAATTCTACAATGTCATTTACCAATAAAGAACATGAATATTGATGATTGATTGATTGATTGATATGACATTAGTTTTAAGTAATATACAACTGTGTTTTCTTTCTCTATACATGCCTGGCGCCCAATATCTATATTTTTTTGTTTATTGTTATTGATTAGTTATCTCTCTAGTGAAATACCTTACCCACGACAAAGTTTACAGAATAAAATTATTCTGTAAACTTTGCCCACGACTGCTCTCCGATGAAAAGCTGCCGTTCGCAGTGGTAATGTTTATAAAAAAACGCTACAACCTGTTTAGATAATGCATGCGTGACTATAGATAGAATAAGAATATAGGTATCGATTTTCTTATGCAAATAATTACAAAAATTTTAGAATTTCAAGTCGTCGTATTAAAAAATTCAAAATATGACCAAAGCTAATAATTTATTTGCTTCACTTTGATTAATCGTGATGTAACATTTTTTTGTAATTTGTATAAACCACCCCAAAAATACCAAGGAGTGAAGAAGCAGAAATAACTACTATCGAGGAAAACAATATCCCTTTACTTACTACAGACCAGGAAAAAAATTTATCAGAAAATAATATACCTCGTAATATGCCTGTATATGATGTATAGACTTCTCTTAGATCAAAATAAATTTTAGTTGAGTCAACAGTATTCGCTATTGGTTTAAGAAAAATGTCTCTTTCATCAAGAAATGTCCCTTCTCAATCAAGAATTTTTGCATGAATCAAAGAGACTATTGTTCTTGTAGCAAGAACTTCTTTGCATATTCATTTTGGGTCAACAGTGAAATACTTCGGACAGATAGATTCTTCTATTCGCTAAAGTAATTTTTTAAAGCTTATGAAAAGATTAAGTTAATGCTTTGGGCAAAGAAACGTCGTTCTTGGCCCTATTCAAAAGCGCCAATCTTTTGGGTCAAAGTCATATTCATTTCGACTGAGAGATCCTTTTTTTCAGTGAAGGGATAACTTGGGCCCGCATAGCCAACAATAGACAACAATAAACTCAATTACAAAGAGATTGTCTAAATAATGAAAGAGGCTACATCATAATTGGTTGAATAAGTAGGAAATGTTGATAATAATAAGAGATAACATATAAATAACCTCTCAGAACTGCTCTATGTATACTGATTTCTCTGTAATTAAAACAATTTCAACAAATATTACAAATTTCCACTTACCATTGCCACTGATTAGTGAATTTCCTATGATCGATTGTTCGTTTTTCTGAGTGGGACTGGTGACTTCGACCTTGACAACTGGCGAAACGCTGGTAGTGATTTCTGCCACTTGGCAGGGATTCGAACCCGGTTCCTTTTTCACGTTGACACCCGTCCATTCGATGGGATTCGTACGGGAACAACCATTAGTGGAAATCTGCAAAAAAGACAAAAAATAAAAATAAAATATACAGGGTGTTTTTTGATCGATTCGCATTTTATTGATTTTATGGAAAGCACTGTTCATTAAAATGTTGTATCCTATGTTATAGGGCTTGTTTCTCTATACAATTTCCTGTCTCACAATGTACCGTTTGTGTCCGGGAAGGGTTCATAGTTTCATAGATGTCGATTTGCGAAGGAAATCAGTACAGGGTGGGTCAAATTCGACGCTTTTAAATGGAAACACCCTTTTCTATAGGAGATAGACAAAAACTAATATCGGTGTCTGGAGCTCGATTTTTGTCAAAAACATGATGGTGAAAACCGCATATCGATATCTGTTACCGTTTCGGAGTTACGGGGTGTTTTTTAAAAATATGCATTTTTAACAAATTGCTGTAACTTTTTTGCTATGGAAAATTTTGTAATTTTATGAAAACATTTCCAAAGCACCTTTTACGTAGAATTTAATGGTTTAAGTATATATTTTTTAAATTAATAATTTAAAATTATCAACAGAAAATTTGATTTTTATATGGGACACCCTGTATATTTTTAATTTATTGAAAAGAATTTAAAATTACCTTTCCAAAAATATAACACACTTGATATTTTCCTCGATTCCTCTTCGAGATATTAGAGTATATAAAAATTCGCCCACTTTAAATAAGTAGGCTTTGAACGGCACCGGCTGTAATGCAAAAAAATTCTGGCTGTGAGCATCAATTAAAACGAAAATGATTTTTGCTATGAGAGATGCAGAATTTTATAACAATTTAAAATATATTTAACCAACATCAACAAATTTAAACTATATCTAATAACAATAAAAATAAACAGCAAATCAAGACATGATATTTGGCTACAGGTTTTCGACATATCGACCGTCTTCTGTTATGGACAGACGGGGCAGTTTTTGAACATTTCTCGCGGAATTCATTAACTCGGTGGGGGTGAAAGATACCCTCTCATAACTGCTAAGTATTTCTAATTCTTGTCTAGATTATACGGAAGAATAAGGAACCTTTATTCTTCCGCAAATATATCCATAGGATTAAATCCATAAGCACTAAGTCAGGCGGCCTCGACGGCCAATGGGCTGGGATCTTGGTTAGCTATTCAATTATTCTTGAAATTGGCTGCAAAAATTTGCTGATAACTTCAGCGTTCAGAGGCGGTGCGTCGTCTTGCTGGAAAAATATGTTTTCGAGTTCCATTAAGGGCATATCATCGATAAGGGGTCCAAAGCCTACTAGTTAAAAGTGGCGAACTTTTAAAAATTCTGTATTTCGAAGAGAATTATAACAAAATATCAAGTGTGCTATATTTTTGGAAAGGTAATTTTAAATTCTTTTCAGTTAATTAAAAATATAGAGGGTGTCCCAAATAAAAAATCAATTTTTCTGTTGATAACTCTTAAATTATTAATTTTAAAAAAATTATACTTAAAGCATTAAATTCTACGTAAAAAGGTGCTTTGGAAATGTTTTCATAGAAATACAAAATTTTCCATAGCAAAAAAGTTACAGCGATTCATTAAAAATGCACATTTTTGAAAAACACCCCCCGTAACTCCGAAACGGTAACAGATATTGATGTGCGGTTTTCACCATCATGTTTTTGATGAAAACTGAGCTCCAGACACCGATATTAGTTATCTTCTATTTCCTATAGAAAAGGGTGTTTCCAGTTAAAAGCGTTGAATTTGACCCACCCTGTACATGTATATTATTTCATATATTTTGCATTTTATTGATTTTATGGAAAGCACTGTTGTTGTGAAACAACAAAAAAAAACAACAAAATCAATTTTTTTTCTCTAAAAATAACACCTAAATTAAAAAACTCACCTCCTGGACTTTTTTAACCGGCGAAGAACACAGGCAACTCTTCTGCTGCGCCCTTTGCAAAGAACAGCACTTTTCGTCGCATCTTTTCTCGGTTATTTGGATTTTTTTCGGGCTAGACGGGTACTCTGCCGGCTGTTGGATGATAATGTTGTTGGGGAAACCCTTGGCCAAAAGTTCCAGTTGCGCCACTGGAATTGGGGAGTACGGCGAGCCCGGAGGAGGAGTGGGAGCTCCGAAAGTGTAGCCAGTGGCGGAGAACAGCGAGTCTGAAACTATTAAAAACAACAAAATATGAATTAAAAGATTTATATGGTAGAATGATAATAGAATTGGTCAAGTGCGAGTCGGACTCGCGCACGAAGGGTTCCGTACCATTCATTATCTATACAACATTAGACAACTATATTATTATAAACTTTTTTTCCGATTTAGCTGAAATTTTGAATGCGCGTATAAATAATTTAAAAAAAAATGAAGAAACACATTACTAAAAATTGTATTAATCAATAATAAATATGTAAAAAGTAAAAATAAATATAGTGTGACCAACGGATCTGTAGCTACGGGGTATCGGCAGGGGAATGCAGTTGTAAACAAAACACGCCCAATTTCATTCATAAAATAGGCATGGGCGTACGGTGTTATATGAAAATAATGTGTATCATAAATATAATACTCAGATTAATAATTTATTTCAAAAAACTTTATGCTCTTTGAATCGTTACTGTTGAGTTAGCAGATAAACACTAAATGTTTAGTGAAAGTACTTTTTTCTTTATAAACATTTATTTAATTCCGTTTTTAGTATTTGTTCTTATACCGGCAACATACAGTGTGACCCACTCAAGACCGGGCACCCTCCATAAAATCTGTGTTTATAGTCCGATTTTGATGATTTTTTTTTCAAATATAAAGTTTCAAAAAATGTACTTTAGGGCTCGATGTCATGTTATTTCACAAAAAAATAAGGCCTACTTAATAAAGTTTTTGTGGTGAAAAATTTGCAAAATCATATTAGCGATTTTTTTTTTTTCAAAATTTGAGTACACCCCTACATTCGGCATCCCCCCAAAACAGTTCTGTACCAAAATTTCGTTTAAAAATATTAATTATTAATAATTCTGCAGTTAAATTAAATAATTCCCTATTTTTGCCAATTTAACGATGAGTTATCACGTAACCCTTGAAAAAACAATCCACAACAATGGGTTTTATTAGCTGTCAATTCTTGCAGCGTAGAATTGAATATTAATTTAATAGCACGCAGAAAAGTGTTGTATCAAGAAATATTATTTGCATTATGGAACAATTAAATATTAGGGATAAAATTGAAATTATTCGTTTAGTGGGTGATAACTATCTTCAAGCAGGAGAAGCTGCCAGAGAATTTAACAACAGACATCCCGACAGACCTGCAGTAAGTAGAAGCACGGTTCAACCAAACCAAATAAATAGAGTTTTTAATGAAACTGGTTGTGTGTCAAAATACTTACTAAAAAACAGAAGGCCGGAACATCGAATAAATAGGCAGAATGAGGAAATATTAGAATATTTTCGTAACAATCCTCGTGCAAGCATTAGAGGCGCCAGTGTTGATTTGGATATACCAAGGGAAAATATTAGGAGATGTTTGCGAACTAATAAAGTTAAACCCTTTAAACCAAAGATTTTACACACTTTGGAAAAAGGGAGATGATGTTAGACGATTAGAATTCTGCTTATAGGCTCAAGCAGAGTATTTAAATAATAGAAATTTCTTAAAAGAAATTTTATTTAGTGATGAGGCAACATTTAGTACAAACGGAGTAGTATCCTCTCAAAATTCGCGATTCTGGGCAGTCGAAAACCCTGAATGGGTGATCAATACAAGAAGACAGTATTCTCAGAAATTAAATGTGTGGTGTGGCATACTTTGATGATAGAATCATTGGTCCATATTTTTTGAGAGAAATTTGAATAGTCCAACGTTTTTGAATTTTCTGATTAATGACTTTGGGATGCAATACATAATTTACCATGCCAAACCCGTTTGAATTTAAAATTTCAATTGGACGGATCACCTGTGCATAACGCGGCAGTTGTCAGGGAATGGTTAAATGAAAATTTTGAAAATAAGTGGATAGGTCGAAATAGCCCGCTAATTGAGTGGCCACCGAGATCCCCGGACCTATTCTGTTTCTAGTATTTGTTCTTATAGCGGCAACATAGATACATTATCTGTAAAAATTTCAACTGTCTAGCAATAACGGTTCATAAGATAGACCTTTGTGACAGACGGATGGACGGACGGATAGCAAAGTCTTAGTAATAGGGTTCCTGTTTTTACCCTTAGGGTACGGAACCCTAAAAAATTAAAATAGTAAATTAAAATATATTAAGTATCTACTCTTTGATTGTCTCTCTCCTCGTCATCAGAAACAACGATGACGTCATAGAAGGGCGGAATCGCCGAATATTTCCGGTACCCGCTCACCCCTTACCCGGAAATAGCCCGTTTCGAGCGATCCCCGTCTGCGGCTGTCATATTTCTGATGTTCGTTTGTTTTCGTCATCGCCCACTACGTTCGAAATAAAAGAAAAAGGGCACAAAAGAAAAAGAAGAAGAAGACGAAAATGAAACAAGGATTGGGGGAATTGAGTATCAGGGTGGTGAGCATGGACGTTATAAATAATAGATATAGAATAAATTCACGGAAATTTTTTTTACAGAAACTTAATAATAAGGTTTGGAACTCCGCCATCTTTCCCAATTGATCAGGTCACGCAGGCTTATAGCTTACTTGAAATATAATTGATGTCCACTCCAAATCAGTAACATACTAGACATACAATAGAAATTCAATGGATAATAGTGGGCAAATTCCATAGGTATTCAAATCTAGAAAGATACTAAAACATACCGGGTGTTGCATCGTCAGACGGGACATAAGAAATCCCATGTAAACTGAAGTTCTATTGCATTCGACATAAATAGCATTTTTTAATAGTGTAGATTTGGGTATTTTTTATCCTTGTATATCCTGTTTTTTAAATGGCCCCAGAGAAGGAAATAATTTGGGGAAATATCAGGAGACCTTGCTGGCCAATTTACTGTATGATTTAGGCCAATAACGTTTCCGTTAAAACTATTGTCTAAATATTCCCGAACAGCCAGGGTACTATGTGCCGGGCAGCCATCCATTTGGTACCAAACTTCCTGATTTTCCCTAGTGGCATCATGTAAAGCAGGTAAAATATGATTTTCGAGTAGTTCCAAATAATATTCTGCATTTAAATTTCGCGTAAGAAATAATGGCCCGATAATATTGTGTCCGAATATCCCTGCCCAAACATTTACTTTCTGTGGATATTGCGTCCTTGTTTCGACAAACCTGTGTTGGTTTTCTTTGTTCCAATATCGCTAATTTTGAACATTGGGTTCATTATTTAAGGTAAACGTGCATTCGTCAGTGAAACATATGTTTTTTAAAAATTCCCTATCCATGTTTGCTCTTTCCATCATATCGAAACAAAACGCCGCCGTATTTCGTCCCCATCTCGTAGCTCTTGGTGCTTTTCATATTTGGAGGAATAGTATTTATGTCGTTTCAAAATTCGAAACGCTGTAGTGTGATCTATTCCTATTTCATCCTCAAGTTTCCTTGTGCTGATCTTTCCATCGTTCTCTTCCACGCACAATGAAACTTCCAAATCGGTATCGTTTCTTGCATCTTCTCTTTGTTCCTGCCTTGCTTCACATCTGCAGTTATTTATTAGAGTACCTTTGGTCTCAAATCTCTGGATATTCCTTGCCATTGTAGATTTTCCAGGTATCGGTCTATTCGGATACAGAGCAGCAAACATGTCCGACACCTTTTGATAACTATTTCCTTGATAATACCATTTAATCATCAATACTTTTTCTTCAGTAGTGTAATTCATGGCTAATATTTTCGATGTAGGTATGAGTTTTTAATAATAATAATAAAGCACTAAATAGATAAATTTCTGAAATGACAACTTCATTTGACAGTTATCTTTTACCTTGACTGGTGCTTATAAGTAAATACAGGAGACCAAAAACTAAAAAATGTTTTAAAATTGAAGTATATTTCGAAAAATTTGAAACCCAAAACATTTAGGCTTTCATCTAAATTAGATTTTTAAAAACTTTCTATAAACAAATTGTCTCAAAAACTTTGTCTAGATCGACAATCTATATATTTTAATGTCCATGGTGGTGACACATACTTATGTGGGAATACCGGTAGGGGAGATAGCCTCAAGAGGATGAGATTAATATAGGTTTTGTCCTTAGATCATATGTAGTTTGTAGATAAAACTTAGACCTTCCAACCCTGTCAACATATTATACAAGACATTATTATCTAATTGTTTCTTAAGCTTTTCTAGCCGCAAACTGCTGCTAGTATATTCTATTGATCTTAATTATATTTTTTAAGACATTGTGAATGATCGTAAACTCTTGAATATAAAGTATAATTGAAACAACTAATGTTTCCACTAATTTCGAGGTTCTGTAATCTAATCTTAGGATCATAATGTCTAAAAAATATAACTAAAATTAATAGAATACCCTAGCAAAAGTTTGCGTTAGTCAATCCATAGAAAAGCTTAAAAATCTGAACAACTTAATATATAAAATCGGGTGACTGACATACTGATTAATCACGATCCTGCTCAAACCACTCAACGTAAGAAGCTCAATTTTGGCATACAGGTTGATTCTAGGGTGCAGAGGTTCGATAAGAAGGGATTTTTCGAAATTCCAGTTCCAAGGGGGTGAAACCACCCCTCAAATATTACAATATTTTTTATTTAAAAAACGGTCAAGTTTCCGAAAAAACGCTTAAACACGTATATTTTATTTTGTTTTTTTATATATTTTTTGAGATTTTTTAAAAATGTATACAGGGTGTTTCGAAAAATCTGGTCATTGATTAATCACGATCCTGCTTAAAGCGCCTGACGTAAAAAGCTGATTTTTGGAAAACGGATTGACTTTAGGGTGTAGCGGTTCGATAAGAAGGGATTTTTAGAAACTCGAATTCTAAGGGGGTGAAACTATCTCTCAAATATTTAAATAATTTTTATTTAAAAACCGGTGAGTTTTTCGGAAAAACTCTTAAACACGTATATTTTATTTTGTTGTTTTACATATTTTAAGATGTTTTATAAATTTATACAGGGTGTTTCATAAAATATGACCATTGAGTAATCACGATTCTTCTTAAACTGCTTGACAATTAAAGCTGATTTTTGTCAAACGGATTGACTGTGGGGTGTAAAGGTTCGATAAGGAGGGGTTTCTCGAATCTCAAATTCCAAGAGGGTGAAAACGCCCCTCAAATGTTACAATATTTGTTATTTAAAAAACTGTTAGTTTTTCGGGAAAACGCTTGGACAAGTATAATTATTTGGTTTTTTTACATATTTTGAAATTTTTTAAAAAATCATACAGGGTCTTCCAAAAAGTTGGGTAATTTCTTAACCACGATTCTGCTTAAACTGCTTAACGTAAAAAGCTTATTTTTGGCAAACGGATTTTTCGAAAGTCAAATTCCAACGAGATGAAACTACCCCTCAAATATTACCAAGTTATATAATAATATCGCCATATTGTTTTTTCTCATGCTGACATAAAAGTGAGAAAATTTTATCCAGTTTGTATGTTAATGGAAATTCTTGCTTTGCTTTATCATCGCCATTACAAATGATTAATTCGACGCGAACGAAGTCGCGGGTACTGTTTGACCAGCGGATCTGAAGCTACGGAAGGAATGCGAGAAAAAAAAATCGATATTGCCACGTTTATCTATAAAATTGCAAAATTGCCAGACATGAACTATAAATTTAATATATTTTTATTATATATAATGTGTTTAGCATATATTCTGACGTATATTATTAAGGAATTTTAACGTAGTTCATATTGTTCGATATGTTTTATTTAATAACTTATTTCTTTCATTCTGTATAATCTGCTTTATTATGAAAGAAGTTGAAGATTTTTCAACGATATCATTAGCAAACCGGCATCGCCGCGCATGGCCGCCTATTCGTCGAACATGATTGGTCAGAGTACGTCACAGGATTTGTTACCACGCGGTTGCCATGGCTTTTACGCCATTCCTATTCGCTTGCTTTATCCCCAAACTTCACGGTCTCTTCTGAAAAGAGTAGGAATATTGAATACTATTGAAATATCCAGTGGCGGTGTAATTTTTTTGATCATTATTACTTTATTTCATTATTTTATACCGGTTATCCTAAACTTTATTCCTATATTTTTCGTATATTTGATAGTTAAGTTGTGTTTTATTATTTTGTTATCTTGTTATAATGTTTTTCGTTTCGTAGTTTTTAATTATTAATATCAAGTTTGATCGTATATTTGTGTTTTAAAATGAATAAATTTGTTAAGGGTAAGACGCTACATAGTCAGACAAGAGAAAATAATAGCTAATTTATATAGGTAAGTTAATAATAACGTGGATGAAATCTCATTTGGTTTATTTTCTTGTGTTCATAATAGGGTTTGCGATGAAGAAGCTACAGAGAGTTCGCTTTGGTGCCGCTTAAACGTAAACTTGAGCGGATATTTTTATACCGGAGTTAGCGTATCGGCTATAAAAAATTCACACAGAGAAGATAAAAAGGCTGAAAACTAACCCCGATAAAATGATATCCAGCTCTGGAAAGAAACGACCACGTGAGACTGCTGTCGAAAAGCTCGAGGACTTTTTCGAAGTGGTCAGGAATTTGATAAATAGATTTTATCTCGAATTCAAACTCGTCCCCGCAATTAGAAAGCTTTTGCAAAAATTGCAGGAAGAATCGAATTTTCCTTTTGCAGGGAAACGCTTAGGGGGTTATTAAAATCAAATGAATTTTTGGCGTAAATGTCAAAATAATGAGATAAATATTAATGGAGCGGCCCATTATATTGCAGAGAGAGATATAAATATATACGCGAAATTCGAAAATATAGCCAAGTATTATCTATTTGGATGAAACATATGGGTAGAACAAATGACCTAATCTTTAAAAACTGCTGGTGGAGCGATACAATATCTGGTGTAATGGCAATATTGGATCTACTGGTGAAGTAAAATTATATGTTTGCGCTTCCAAAGTTAACTGTTTTCAAGATTTTTTTGCTGGAAATAGTTATATCTAAAATTATGTATTATAGAAAAAATATAGTTAGTACAGATATATAAATAAATATACCTCAAGACTCAGTCTTGATCATCTGCTGATAGCGAACATGGTTAGCAATGAACATGCGTCCAGTGTAAAATTAAAAGTGTTTTGGTGTATTGTACTGATTTAGTGTTTTATTTTGCTGTGTAACACCAAAAGTTCCAACCCCCAGCTGTAATTATTTCTTCTATTATATTAACAACACAATAATAAAATGATTCAAAATATTTAAGGGAGCTTTAATAAAAGCTTTTAGTGTTTATCTGCTAACTCAACAGTAACGATTCAAACAGCATAAAGTTTTTTGAAAAAAATTATTAATCTGAGTATTATATTTATGATACACATTATTTTCATATAACACCGTACGCCCATGCCTATTTTATGAATGAAATTGGGCGTGTTTTGTTTACAACTGCATTCCCCTGCCGATACCCCGTAGCTCCAGATCCGTTGGTCACACTATACACGCTAGTTTTTCTTATAAAATACTAAGTACTGAAATTCTAACGCAAAATAAAAACACAAATCTTCTTAGTAAAAGTGGAAGCTTCTTACCTTTGTGAGCTGCGTGAAAGGTGTTCCCTGATGATTGCTGTATGTGGCCGGAGGCGAAACGTCCGATGGTGCTCGCGTGCGAGTACAGGGCGCTCCCGAAAGTCGGCCCCCCGGGGAAAAGCGAGTACACGCCGTACTTACTCAGTCCTGAGGAAGAGAGAAGAATACAGAATGAAAAACGTCGTAAAGCTGTAATCATCGAAGGTACTCTTTGATGTAACTGGCGAATCGTTTATTTCGAATAGAGAGATCAAAAAATATTAAATTTGTTCAATAAAATTATTTTACAGAAAAATCAACACAAGTTGGTGTGCGCGTCATCAAAGACGTCGAAACTATTACCAAATTAAATTTCTAATTATTTAGTAATTATAGCCATAAAATTATGAAAGTTTCAGCATTGGTAGGAAATTGTATGTATAGTCTATAAAATGAATAACTTTGAATTTTGACCGTTATTTTTTACCAACATGGCAAATATAAAATCCCTCTATCAAAAAAGTAACTGATATCCTTTAAGTATTCTTTAAATTGAGTGCCTGAACGAATCAGATAGGTAACTCTTTTTACTTTCGTGAAATAGAAAAGGAAAATAATAAAACAAGTGACAGTTCTTCCTCTTCTTGCAAAAAATCAACACGAAATGGCATATCTGTCAAAAGTAAAAATGTCATCAGCTTTTGACATTTCTAAATATCAGACCAATGCCGTCTCTAATAGAACAGCCTCGGGCGAGGTTTATGACGTCACGCTAATTAGATACGGATTAATAAATATGTTGTAGAATACATGGAAAACATAATTATTCCTCGTATTTTGGTTTTGTATTTTAAAAATGATATAGTTTACATGAAATATACATAATATACAATTAATAAATATAATATATACCTATTTATAGTAATAAATACTTTGGCAAATAAACTATGAACCATACAAATGCATCAAATGTTTTACAATATACAAATAATGAATAGGTACATAAGATAATGGATAAAATGTAAAATATATTTTAAATTTTGGGGTTTGAAAATCGATCTAATTTAACAAAAAACATTCAATATATACTAATAGTGATTTGTTATTATTTGCATTCACAAAATTTATATGTACATATATTTTGCAAGTATCAATGTTCGAAAAATTATATTTGCAAATAATACAATATCATAGAAAAAAATGCGTCAGCGATGGCTATGAAATAAAGATCGCTGTCATTTTATAATGTAAAATTATTCTGAAATTCTTGATTTTCTTGGGATTTAGGTTCGGGAAAACGCTGATTAAGTTTTCATTTGGGTTTTCATTATTTTTTTTTGGATTAAAAAAACGTTTCGGCTAACATTATAGCCTTCATCAGTGTTGTGTCATATAAAAAAAATAGTGTCGAATATAATCCAAAAAATTGCATATAAAATATTCACACCACAAACCACATAATGTTTACTGCAATTAATAAACTAATATAAACTTGTCAAAAGTTGACCACATATTTTTTTAAATTATTATTCTTAACACTAAAACTATCTACATTGACTATGGAGTACGATTTCAGCCATAGTCAAATATAAGGAATAATTATGTTAGCGTGACGTCATAAATCTCGCTCCGAGGCTGTTCTATTAGAGACTGCATTGCGTCAGCATGGCCGCAAGTTGCCTAACCTAATAAAATTAACACTAGAAAAGCCCGCGGGAACTGTCAAATTCAAAGTTATTCGTTTCACAGACTATAGAATCAGAGCATATACACTTTTAAAGGCCTTAGAAAGAGAGTAATATTATAGAAATAAAATTATGAAAACTTCACCAATTGTAGGAAATTTTATGTAGATTCAGAGAATATACTCCTTTTGATACCTCAGTTTTGTAGGAAATTTAATTTTTTGGACCCTTGTTCTCAGCTATTTTTGATGATGGTTAAAACTTCTCGAACATCTATTAAATACTGTTCTAGTAAGACAGAACTACAATGATCTATATTTTCTTATTTCTACGCCTTTTACTTAGTAAATAACAGCAGTTTTAACAAAATCGATGACATGACAAAAATGTATTACTTTTATTCCACATATTTAAAAGTAATAATATTATAAATAAATTTACTTTTAATATAAATTTTAATTGCTAGAAATACGTTGATATAAAAAATACATAAAAAAAAATACTAACCCTCTGTAGAAAATGTAGTGGCCGAGGGAGCCGGTGCGGGGGCCAGTGGCCACAAGCCCCCCCTCTGCGTTGACCCCCCCGGCCCGGCGGCGCTGCCCAACATGGCGCTGTCGGAGAGCGGCCACCCCAGGCCGCCAAATTGCGATCTGCAACAAAAACATGATTTTTAATCGATCATTTGTATCTATGTATATGAAAAGTTATTAAGTTCCTATAAATTTATTGATAATTCTCTTAAAATTTCTTGGTGGAATGTCAAACCTTGCCATACTTTTACAGGTATTCTCAACAAAGATTACAGATTGAGGGTGCAAGTTAATTACTGCGACCAGGGTTGGGTAGGTAAAAAATTAATTTTCTACACCAACAAATTTTCTACATTTTTACTCTGCTGTTGAGCAGAGTAAAGGGTTGATACTAGTGATGTTGGTAGCGAATATTTCCATTCGAATTTTGCAGGAAATTTCAGAAATTTCCGAAATGTTCGGTCCCAAAATCGCGAATATTCGCAAAAATCCGAATTTTGCAAGAAATTTCTTTTCAAAATTCAAGACATTGAGCAAAAATTTAACGAAAGTGTATCAAGTATGCCGATTCTTAAGTCAGAAGAAAAAGAATGCTTCTCCGGCTTACAAAATAAAAAACCTATGGCTCTTGAACCAATGCATTTTGCCGCGAATCTCTTGGACCCCTGTTTCCTGGGAGAGCACCTTAACAATGAAGAACACATAGCCGCTATGGAATTTATCAACAATATCACCAACAATCATCCTCAGTTTGTCAATAATAAGCCATTTTTACAGATGTAACAAATTATTGCGCCAAATCGGGTTTATGGGCTCTCGACTACGTTTGGATGTCAGTTAAAAATGTAGACTGTCTAAGTTGGTGGCAAGCAATGTGTAAAAATACTCAGTTGAAATATTTAGCTGTTGCTCTGCTGTCTTTACCAACGTCATCTGCAGCCACAGAGAGAAGTTTCAGTACTTACAGTTTTATCCATACTAAAAAAGGAATCGCTTAACTGCACGAAGAGCCGGTAAAATAATGTTCGTAGCTCATAACAATAAATTATTACTACAAAAAGAAAAAGTGGATAGGGAGCATGATATTCAACAACATGAAATTCCTCCAGAACCACTAGAAGAACTCGTGGAGGTAGAGGTCCATCCTTCAGAATCAGAACCAGATGATACATCAAATATATCTGATTTGGAAATAGAAACTGACGAAGACAGTACTACTACTACTATAATACCCTATGAAGATGGAACCAGCTCGGGGCCTGAAAGTATTCCCGAATAGAATAATTTAGTTATTTGTGTTTTATGTTTTTAAATTTATATTTCGTGCTTTTTTGTTTTTTTTTAATTCATAGTAATAGTTCGTGGTTTATGCACAAAATACAAATGTTACCAAATGATTTTTGTTATGGGTTATGTTTATGACTTTAATGGATTATGTATTGTTTATTAAAAATGTAACAACTAATATTATGTTTATTGTTTTTTTTTTCACTTACATGTTGGTATCAAATGTCTATTTAATTTATTTTTTTTGTATCGACAAAAAATATATAAAATTGTAAAATTTCCTAATATTTCATAAATTTCCGAAAGTTTCAGAAATTTGCTGCAACAATCAAAAATTTCTGAAATATTAACATCACTAGTTGATACACATAACAAAAAATGATGGTTTAATTATTATTACTGGGTCCCGAAAGTACCAAAAATAACGGTATCTTGAGTGCCGAGTACCGGTTCTTTGAAAAAGAACAAAAAAGCTCAAAAGAACCGGGAATTACCGGTAAAATGTATGGAGGTTTACTTATTTCTCTGATGTTAAAACACTTTTCTAACCAGGAAAAAAGGAATTTAAAACGAAAATTTCGAAAATCTAAAACGAAAAAAGTTACGTAATTTATAATTTTTATCACAGAATCTGCTGCTTCGATTGGCAATGCCCTATTACGTTTAATGACAGTGGAGACTCAACCCAAATTACAAGCTTCGAATACTTATTAATCCCTTCCCTTTTCTTGTCGTTCTCTTTTCCGTCCGAGCGAGTATTTCTCGAATTATAATTATTATTCCGAAGATTATAACAATTTTCGACCGTAATTGCAAAGAAAGCTTTGTTTTTCTTTTTAATCGATGTTTCCTGAGCCGAAGAAATTTGCTTGTGTCATTAAAAATTTGTTGCTTATTAAAAACGGTATTGATTGAAAAGACCTCCGCGTTAAAATTAATATACAGGGTGTGTCTTGAATAGGTGCAAGTATTACAGGTGGGGGTTGGAACCTTTGCGGATTACCTGCGGATTAAAACAAGCTTTTAACTTGTTTGTATAGGCTTGGTACATTTCACTTGATTTGAACAAATTCCGACGGCAGCGCTTCAACGGAAAAAATCAGAAATTATCAGTATATAGTTCACAGTTGGTCTCACTAAAATATGATCGCATTAAAATAATATTGAAATCGTGGTTTTGTCATAATATTTTAGTTTTTTGCTAGTGCAGTTACCGAGACTATAAAACACTCAGGTATGAGAGGTTTGTGTGATGTAACGCTGTTTAATTTTGTTCTTAATTTTGTCATGGGCATCCACCGTCCATAAAATGCAGGGCAGCACAGTCGACCATGCAGTAGTGTATTTGGGCTCAAAATTGTTTGAGGAAGGGCAAGCATACGTGGCTCTAAGTCGAGTCAAGTCTCTGGAAGGGCTATGTATTGAGGAATTAGATTGTAATAAATTATCAGGTAAAAAACCATGTAATAATGATGCACTAAATGAATTAAATAGAATGAGGAATATTCGGTAGGCATTTCCGTTAAATACTAAAAACTAGAAAATAAAAAATCGGTAAAATTTTTTTTAAGTTAAACGGTTTTATCATATGTGCACTGAAAACTAGAAAATAATAATAACAATTAGGTATTTTGAACTTCTAGTTCAGAAATATTTTAGTACTAGGCAGAATAGCTTTTAGGCATATTAGACTAAAATAAAAACGTGGGGCCCATTAACTATTGCTGTAATACTTTCTTCTATACTAAGTGTGGATTGCATCGACTTACTATAATCGTAACTGGAGATTTTGACAATCAATAACCAGCCGTGGCGGCTTCACCAGCGAACGCCGAGCTCATGATCTACCAAAGTATAAAGATATGCTTTGCCATAGGTAGGATTTCAGAGGGGCCCACGTTTTTATTTTAGTCTAATATGCCTAAAAGCTATTCTGCCTAGTACTAAAATATTTCTGAACTAGAAGTTCAAAATACCTAATTATTATTATTATTTTCTAGTTTTCAATGCACATAAGATAAAACCGTTTAACTTAAAAGTTTTTTTACCGATTTTTTTTTCTAGTTTTAGTATTTAACGGAAATGCCTACCGAATATTCCTCATTCTATTTAATTCATTTAGTGCATCATTATTAGATGGTTTTTTACCTGATAATTTATTACAATCTGACGCTCAGGTGTTTCTGACGCTAACAACTCTCTCTGTCTGTCGCGTTCTGATGCTAGCCTAGACTCATGACGCTCAGGTGGTTCTGACGCTAACAACTCTCTTTGTCTCTCTCGTTGTGATGCCAGCCTAGACTCATGACGCTCAGGTGTTTCTGCCGCTAACAACTCTCTCTGTTTGACACGTTGTGATGCTAGCCTGGACTCATGACGCTCAGGTGTTTCTACCAGCTGCCTTTGCCTCTCACGTTGTGCTATTAACCTGGCATCATGTTGCTCAGGTGTTTCTGTTGCTAACCGTTCTCTTCGTTTCTGTAGTCGACTATAGGTTTCATTTTCACTTTCTTTTGCACGTTTCGTTCTATACTTTTCTTTCGCCTTTTTGAGCCTTCTTTTTCGTTGTGTAGCAGTTTCGTTTTTATTTTTGTTTGTTTTTTTTATTTATTGTTTCCATGTTGTTCCCATGAGTAATTATTAGTACCAAATTTCAGATCAATCTGACAACAGGAAGGTACTTAAATTTCAATTTCTAATTTTGACCCAAATAAATAAACAAATAAATACCGTACGGGTCGAGCTAAATAAAACCGTTTAATAAAAATGGATTCAAGCAGTTCGACGAAACAAGTGAGTAAACAAAGTGCCCGTTACGTAATCAAAAAAATAAATAGACATACTATGAGAGGATAAAATATAATTTGAAATATTAAAGATCGCGCACACTATACCTACACGGACCAGTACGGACCAGCACAGCACAAACCTGCATCCTGCATGACATCGCACACTTTACCGTCACAGACCAGCAACATAAGCGAGAGTTTCGAAAAAAGTACAGTTGTCAAGGCTCAACTACTAGAGCGTGCAACATAGAAGTATTGAAAATGAGTAGTTCAGAGTAAGAAATTATTATTTTAGCCATGTTGTGTGAAGAAGAGGAGGAAGAGAAGGAAGCTAAGAAAAAAAGAAGATTTTGGGTTCACCCTATAAATCAAAAGAGAAAGCAATATGGCGAATTTCATCATTTGTTTCCTGAATTAAAAAGATTCGAAGAAAAGTTTTTCCAATATTTTCGAATGTGACAAATCAAATTTGATTATTTTTTTTTGCTATCGACTCCCATATTGCATCTTTTCTTTCTTGGTCTCTATATATAAAATGCTTGGCTCGTATCGCACAGCTCTGGATACTTTTGTACCAGTAAAATAAGCTTTTCTTCATTCATATTTAAAACGATTTAAAGGTTCGAACAAAAATAAACGAAATCTAACCTACTTCATGCGACTTGAGCCAGCTAGCGTACTCGAAATACTGACAAACCCTTCAATATTTGCATGTTTGTGGAGGTGTGCTGGTTCGCCGGTGCGCACATTAGGTCGGACCAGCACGACCAGGCATAAATATTGCCGGTCGTATTTGTCCCTGACCGACACGACCTGTTTTGACGGTCGTGGCTTGTGGCGGTACGTGCTGGTACTGGTCTAGTGTGCTCTACTCTATTAAATAACACGGTCACCTTCACCGGTAGATTTTACTGGTCTGGTCCGTGCCGGTCCGTGCAGGTATAGTGTGCGCGATCTTTTAGTGGTATACTTTTTTTAATCAACTAGTGATTAAATGTTTTATGAACATCTTCTGAAATTATAATGATGTACCTTTAAAAAATT